CTGTGATGTTCAGTAAGCTTTGAGTGCTGGTTAAAGGCCTTGCCACATTCTTTACATTGGTAAGGTTTCTCTCCAGTATGAATTCTGTGATGTCGGGTAAGGTTTGAGTGCTGGTTAAAGGCTTGGCCACATTCTTTACATTGATAAGGTTTCTCTCCACTATGAATTCTGTGATGTTGAGTAAGGCTTGAGTGATGGTTAAAGACCTGGCCACATTCTTTACATTGATAAGGTTTCTCTCTAGTATGAATTCTGTGATGTTGAGTAAGGTTTGAGTGCTGGTTGAAGGCCTTGCCACATTCTTTACATTGGTAAGGTTTCTCTCCAGTGTGAATTCTGTGATGTCGAGTAAGCACTGAGTGCTGGTTAAAGGCCATGCCACATTCTTTACATTGGTAAGGTTTCTCTCCAGTATGAATTCTGTAATGGCGACTAAGATTTGAGTGATGGTTAAAGCACTTGCCACATTCTTTACATTGGTAGATTTTCTCTCCAGTACGAATTCTGTCATGTTGCGTAAAGTGTGAGTGGTGGATAAAAACCTTGCCACATTCCTCATATTTGTAAGGTTTTCCTCCAATATACATTGGCTGATGTTGACACAGTGTTGAGTGCCAGTCAAAGGCTTTGCCACATTCCTTACAAATGTAACTTTTTTGTTCAGTACCGATTGTGTTATGTATATTTAGTCTTGATGACTGACTGAACATATTCCCAGGTTTATAACATCTGTATGAGTCTTTTCCCACATGAATACTCTGATAATCACCAACACTGGGAGACTGGTTAAGAGCTTTCTCACATTCATTATATTCATAATGATTCTCTTCCATAGGGATACTATTATGTATAATAAGGTTGGAGCTTTGATAAAAGACTTCCACACATTTATCATATTCATAATGGTTCTCTGGAAAATGAGTCCTCAGACATGTATTAACATTTGAACCTGGGTTAAATTTTTCCTCAGATTCACTGCATTGAACAATTTTGTTTTCATTGAAAATGCCCTGGTAATTTTGTAGGGTTAACTCCTCGGTGAAGGACCTCTCAAATGAATCCCACTCAGCACTTTGTTCTTCATTTTTAAATCTCTGATTTTCAGAAATATTTGACTCAAAGGTCAATCCAATCCTACTTTCAAAATGGTTGAAATAATTATTTTCAGCATGAACTAGGCAACTTTCCAGATTTTCCAACTTTTCGTTCTGCAAATATGTATGTTTAATCATTTGATTTGAGCCCTTGTAAATAGAAACACACTGCTTTGCAGAAGTAGCAGACTTAAGAAGGGATGTTTTCCAAAATGTTTTATATCCTTCACCATTTTGGGCAGTGAGATTCATATTATGCGCAGTTGTCTCAGTTTGGATATGTCCTTCATGATATATTTGATGCTCTTCACTCTCCCCATCATTGTTACAGTCTACCAGGAAGTGTAAATTCTCAAGGGCAGTATGTTTATATCTACGTACTGCCACGTTTTGGAAAGAAGCTTCTATGCACAATGTTGGCAGGAAACTCTGGGTGCCATTTGAAGATACAGCTGAAAGATATTGAATAAGAGAAAAGTAAGATCATTCCACTTACTACTCTCAGATGAATATAATGAAAACTTCTAATATGGAAAAATAAAATCAATCAGAGAACTTCAGCAAGACGGCTGATGGAATCATTGGGACTTTATTCCTCCAGGGAGACATAAACTTGCAGACAACATACTGACCACATAGTTCTGAAGTCTTGTCATGCTGGAGCACGCATCACTTTCCTATACCTCAAAAAATCAGGAAAAGTACTATCTGAGCTCAAAACTAGAAGAAAGGAAGGAAACTTAAACTTAAAATAGAAATCAACAAAATAGGATATAGCAAAAACAGAAAAATATCTACAATAGGAAGAGGTGGTTTTTAGAAGAGATCCACAAAATTGACATACTTTTAAGTAAATCGAATGACAGAGAGAAGACCAGTAAAATCAAAAGTGAAGAAGTGAAAGCAGAGTAACTGATAGCATGGAAATAAAGCCAATAAAAGGAGCAGTGATGGATAATTATACGCCCACAAAGAGATATATATAAAAAAAAAAAGTGTGTAAATTTCCAAAAAGGTATAACCTACTTGACTCAATCATGGGGGAGGGGGGAAGTCTCTACTGATCTACCACTACTAAGTAGATTGAAAAAGTAATAAAAAAAAGCTCCTAACAAAGGTAAGTCCTATGCCAGATGAATATTCTCAATTATTCAAACAAACATTAATGAGAAAGTACTTTAAATCTCCTATAACATTTCCAAGGAGTGAAGAGAAAGGAAATTGTAAAACACTCTCTATGACACATTAAGAAAGCCAAGAAAGACACTATAAGCAAAGAAGACTAAAAATTACTACTGAGACGAATAGTCATGTAAACTCCCCAATAAAAGGAAACAACCTGAAACAAGAGCAAATTTTACAACATAATCAAGTGGGAATTCTTCCTGGAATTCAGGGTGTTTCAACAAAAAGAAATCTATAAATGTAGGACAGCACATGAAAAGAATGAAGATCAAACATGACATGATCACATTTATTCGTGCAGAAGAAGAAAGTGAGCATACTGGACACTGTTTCATGATTTAAAACACTCAGTAATAGGAATAAAAGGAAATCAACTCAGCCTAATAAAGGCCATGTATGTACTAAAAGCTGAAATCTAACATATCCAATAGTAAAAGAATGAAGCCTTCTGTATGATCAGAAACAAGGTACTGAAGTGACTTCACCACTTCGATTCAACATAGTAGTGGATTTTAAAGTCAAAAGAATTAGGCAAGAAAAAAATATATAAAAGTAATCCAACTGAAAAAGGAAAAGAGAAACTACTTCTGTTCACAAACGACATGATGTATAGAAAACACTAAGAATTCGTATTTTAATTTTTATGCTATTTTATTTATTGGACATCACTTTTATTGTTTATTTCTGTGAATGTTCCCTCCTAGACTTTCACTTTTCCATTTTTTTATGGCATAATGCTTGAGTTAAGAAAAAATTCAGGGGCGCCTGGGTGGCTCAGTCGGTCGGGCCCCTGCCTTTGGCTCAGGTCATGATCCCACCGTCCTGGGTGGAGCCCTACATCAGGCTCCCTGCTCAGCGGGGAGTCTGCTTCTCCCTTTCCCTCTGCCCCTCTCCCTGCTCATTCTCTCTCTCAAATAAATAAATAAAATCTTTAAAAAAAAAGAAAAATTTGCAATAAAGTAAAATTAACATTACACTACAAGGAACTAGAAAAAGAAGAAACATAGCTGAAATTTAGTAAAGGAAGGAATTAAAAAAGAAAAAATAGAAATGAATAAAAGGGAGATCAGAATAAGCGATAACATAACCTTTAAAATAATCTTATCAAAATCCCAATGCCAATTTTGGCAGAAAGATCAAAACCATCCTAACATTCATATGGATGTCACAGGATAACACATACCCAGAACAATCTTGAAACTGAATAGTATGTTGGTGGTACCACACTTACTGATGAAAAGAATACTATAAAGCTATTGTTACCAAAATAATGTACTACAAACATAAAGACAGGGATAGAATAATGGAAAAGTAAAGGTGAGCTAGAAATCTACTTCTCCAGTGTTAATGTGTATGACAATGAAGTGAATATCTTATTAAAATTCATATTTGTATTGGAATTTCTATGTGAGGTCTGAGTTTCTACATTTCTCATGAACTTGCAAGTGATGCCAACATCTCAGTTCAAGAGCCACACTATTAAATTCCAAAAATTAAAAAACATAGAGGAAATCATGGATGACTTTGAAATTAAAGAATATTGTAGAAATTACAACTTCTAACACCATGAGCAGAAACAACAATTCTTCTTGAACATTTACTACCCACTACATGCCATTCTAACTCTTTTTCATAAATTCATCCAGGAATCCACAGTAACCTATGAAAACAGTATTGTTCTTCATCTTTCAATAAATATCTTGCCAAAACTTCAGTTATAGTGGAGCCTGAGTTTTACCCGAGATTGTGTGACACTGAATAGGTCTAAGAGGAACACACAGACCAGTAAACAGAGGCAACTATAAAAGAAGATTCACAGCAGGTTTCAAAGTGACAATGGGAATGCAAACGTGATTAAATCATAGAATATATCAACTAAAAGAGGTAAGTGAGGATAAAATACAGAAAAAAATTATAAATTAAATTAAAAAGAATAAAAATGATAGACCAAAAATTCCTTACTGTCCTTGAATCTAAGATATGTCTTCAGCACATAAAACATAAATCTATTTGTGAATGAAGGGTTTTGTGTCTTGCAAACAAACCACAGAGACAAACACAAAATGATAGAAATGAAATACGTATTGTTTAAATTTTTGCTCATTTACCTTTGTGATGAGTTATATTTTACAATTTTAGGGCAGTGGAACATATATGATGCATGCTTTCCTTCCACAGAGCAACAGAGAAATGCTAAGGAAGAGTTGGTCTGTGACATGAGTGTGTAATAGAATGGAAACTTGGAGGACCTATGCTGACTGACTGACAATCTCCACTATCTCCAGTAAACACAGGAGAGAGCCTTCATTTTCAAAGCTGACTACAAAGTGAAACAGAGACGGGAGTTTCCAGATTAAATGAGATGATTAATGCACATCTTTCAGTAAATCCTCCCAAGGTACGTGGTGATAAATGAGAAAAATTATTAATTTTTTAAAAAATATTTTATTTATTTATTTGACAGAGACAGACAAAGCGAGAGAAGGAACACAAGCAGGGGGAGTGGGAGAGGGAGAAGCAGGCTTTCCACTGAGTAGAGAGCCTGATGCAGGGCTCGATCCCAGGACCCTGGGATCATGACCTGAGCCGAAGACAGACGCTTAACGACTGAGCCACCCAGGTGCCCCGAGAGAAATTATTAATCTTGTAGTGGAGGAATCTGACATACAGGACAGAGGAAATGAGGTACATGAACCTGTAATGGGTCACATTGGTGTCAGGTACGAAACGTTCTTCAAAGGAAGCATAATAAGTGTTGTAAAATAAATGTCCAGAACAACAGCTAAGTAAATCATAATCTAAATGTAAACATGAAAACATCCATTTTATTCAAATATCAAGCCACATATAGGACCCATACACTGTAATTTATAGTAGAGTATTTAAGCTTTGTGTGTAATCACAGGCTTTCACAGGGTCCTCTTCGCATTCTTTTTTTTTTTTTTTTAAAGATTTATTTATTTGACACAGAGAGAGAGACAGCTAGAGAGGAAACACAAGCAGAGGGAGTGGAAGAGGGAGAAGCAGGCTCCTGGCTGAGCAGGGAGCCTGATGCAGGGCTCGATCCCAGGACCCTGGGATCATGACCTGAGGCAAAGGCAGACGCTTAATGACTGAGCCACCCAGGCGCCCCCTCTTCGCATTCTGATCAGCTCAAAGACACAGGCTTGGTCCAGAGACCCTAACATGGGAGGTTAACTGATGTACAAGACTCGTGGAATGAGGGCGCCTGGGTGGCAGAGTTGGTTGAGTTTCTAACTCTTGGTTTTGGCTCAGGTTGTGATCTCAGGGTCATGAGACTGAGCCCTAAATGGGGCTCTGCACTCATTGTGGAGTCTGCTTGAGATTATATATACCCTCCCACCTCCCACCCTGCCCCACCACTGCTTATGCTATCTCTCTCTACCAAATAAATCTTAAAAAAAAAATAAAAGAATTCTGGAACTCTCATCTCCTGTAGGTACCCTGCCCTCACTTAGTAATATCCTCCAGGATTCCTGAAACACTGTGGGATTTCTCCATTGCAACAGTGATGGACTGGGAGTTGTCACAGAAGTCCTAGTCATTACACTGACCTATTTCCTTATTTTTTTTCTCTCAAGGATGATGTTCTATTCTTTCCTGAGAGTGCCCATAGCAAGGAACCTGTCTGTACAAAGGTACTGATCTAGTCAAGTGGAAGAGGAACAGGCAAAGTCCATTTAACACCAGGGCTGAATCTATGGCTACCTCACCTCATTTATCTGTGAGGTTTAACCAAATAATGATAAAAATTTATTCTTTTCTAGGTGGTGGGAAAATAGAAGGAAGAGGTGCACCTCACATGGGAACAAAGAGAGTGAATCAAGGCTGCACAAAATCCAGCTTCAGTTCAATGAAGAGCACTAATTCTATCAAAAACAAAAACCACTTCTATAATCTGAAGCACACTACCACTTCGGGCAGTCAAACCTTGAGAATGTATGCTCCACACAAAATTCCAGGTCTGCATCAGAGAAGATGAACAGTTTCAAAGAGTCCTTCAACGTAGCGAAGAGGACCAAATAGGTGGGCCTGGAGTCCTTCCCTCCCTTTACTTTTCATTCAACCTAATGTCACTCCTGCAGGGTGAACAGGATCCGCCACTCCTCTCTGGGGCTCCTTTTATTTCTCCTTCTTCCTGTCACCATGCCAAACATATTCTTGGAAATAGCTCCCACTTTGACAAGTAATGCAGGAACAGTATGGTCCTGGTTCAATGCTGGATTTCTTAGCTTGGACCACACAG